ACATGGTTTTTTCCCTTTTTCTCTTTTTCCCTTCAAATTCCTTACACTTGGTACAGCAAAAGTCATGAAAGTTGAGAGCATCCAGTGCAAACATTTTCCATAGTTGCCCTACAAACAAACCCAGCAGTTTCATCAGTAAAATCATCAGGGAGAACTGAAGGAACTTAAACAATGCAACATGCTTGTTGCACAGTGATCTTGACAACTACATGTGAAGTGGTAAACTATGGGGCACATTTGCAGATGCAGAATACTTGGGGGTTTCTTTGTTGTTGTTTTTTGACTCAAGATGCCAACTATTTGGGATATAAAGCATGAATAAATAGGTCAATTTTTTCCACATTTGCAGTTGAGATGCAAGCATATTTCTAAACACGCTTCCCTCCATCTGACTTAGATAACCTGGAGAGAGAAATACTGAAATTTAATGTCACAACTCCTTTGCTTGAGCAAATCTTGCAGTAACAGCTGTGCCTTCCATATCAAAGCGCTGTGCCAAAATCCTTAGAACGTTTTACCCTGTGTAGTTCACCTAAATGATTTGTTGAAGTGAAGTGTTAGGAATGAAAAAATGCTAATAATTAATCAGAAAAAGAAATACGAAAACTGGCGTCAGTACTTTACCCATAGGACTAATTTTTGAAAGAGAACTGATTTTGGGACAGCTGAATGTAAACAGTCACAAATAAGACAGTAAGAATGTGACTAGCAACATACATTCAAAGACCAAATGAGCATAAATGAAAATGAGGAAACACATTTTGTATACACACAGATGCAAGTTTTTGATAAACAGGCATTGAAGAAACTGAAAAACATTCAAATAAAGTGAAAGTGGGCTATCCCTTCCCATGGCTAAAAGAGAAAATAGGACTGGGCAGAATCTGTTTAATCCTCCTGCCCAACCTAAATTAGTACTTTAAACATTATTAAATAATTTCCAAGAAGTTCCATTCAACCTCCAGTAGAGACAACCCAAATACACATTTTAGGAAGCTAACACGTGGTCTCGTGGAAGGTGTCCCTACCCAATGCAGGTGCATTGGAACCAGATGATCTCTGAGGTCCCTTTCCAACCAAACCACTCTATAATTCTATAAGGAATATGATCAAAAGTGTTTCTGCCTGGATCCTACAATTTTGAAGAAAGACAGCATTATTTTAAACCTAACAAACCAGTTGGAGATAAAGCTGCTCAAATGTCAGCCGACATGCCTCAGTCTTGACAGGTTAGCTTAGACAGCAAGTCTAAGCTTTAAACACCCAGTGGGAAAAATTCAAATTCCATGGCTTAACTCTTGGAATCATACTCTGTTAGGAAATTGTTTCAGATGAAAAATGCTGCTTTTTTTCAGTCTTAGCAGGTGTCCACGGCATTACAGACAGTATAATAATAGAGGCATAGACTCAGCAGGGACATGATCAGAAGCTAGGAGAGGTCAGAAAATGAACATAAGCAGAAAACATCACATTTAATCAAGAGAGAAAATCCAATCCAAGACCAAAAAAAAAAAAAGGAAGAAAAAAAAAAGGAAAAAAGGAAGAAGAGAAGAAGGAGTTGTGGCACATTCTTTAATATCAAAGAATCAGGACAGTCAAGATCACAGTATAAGGACCACTGAATGTAGCTTTTGTTTAAAATAAAGGACACAGTGATTGTTAGGATCTGCTTTATGGCAGATCCTAAAGGAGGCAGGGTGGGAACTGATTGAAGTCTGCATTGTTACCTAAACCTTTCTGAGTACTTCAGAGATATTTAAGGCGAAATTTACAACAACAACAAGAAATCTTCACAGAGGTCAACAACACAAAACTCATGTTTTGCCATGTCCTTATGGTCAGATTATCAATCCAGCAAGCAATCACTTTGCAATCAGATGTACTGATGAGCAGCACACTGGGGCATGCCATGTAAGACAGTGTCTGTTTGCATTCATAAAGCATGGTTTCACTGAGCTAATACACTTCAAGGAGACAATCCTCGCTCTAATGAACTTTAAAGCTCAGCAGAAGCAAAAAAACCATCCAAGAATAAAATCCAAATTATGTACATATGCCAGAGAAATTCCATGCTGTCTTAATCAAGAGAGTTTCATCATGGTCTCCTTGAGCGAGGTATTTGCATGGAAAATGATTGTTAGTTCCCCCTTTGAATGATTTGGGAAAACAGCTGAAGTAATGCAAAGTCACCTATATACTTTTATGAGTCTATCTGGAACAGACCACAATTGACTCAGAATAGTGACACTGGGATAAAATGAGCTTCTGAAAGCACTGAAGCAGAGAGTGGGTGGCATGCAGATTGAGATTAAGTTAATTTGATATTTAATAGCAAAGAACTTTAACATTTTTTTTTCAGAGGGCTCTGTGAAGAAAAATATTTAAAGTACGAGGGTATTCCAATAATAAGTTAGATATGTATCTATGTATCTAGACATATAGATGTATAATAAGTGGTCAAGCACCATGAAAATAAGTGCACTGGAAAATCCTTGAAACTAGCTAATTCTATGAACTTCAATTCATCTGTAGAGCACCAAACTGCCTTCTTGTACTCAGAAAAGTGGGCTTAAACTCTCTGATCTGGTCTCTGGGACATGAGAGCAGGAGATTGTACTGGATGACCTCCTGAGATCCCTTCCAGTCTTTGATCTTGTGATCATCACAAACAGTTCAAACTCCTCTACAACAAAAAGCAATCACTCACTGAGCAGCAGAACCAAGAGGTAGATGATCTCTGTGAAATCCACATCAGATACCAACAGACCTTCCCAGGGTGCTCCCCTGAGCACTTCCTTGATCCAGCTGAGCCACTGGGACAAGGACACAGAGCTGATACCCCACCTGAAGATCAGCCTTGCCTCTGGTCAGCCAGACATTCAGCAGCTGAAGGAGCTTCACAGGTCTGAGACTTAGGTCAGGCAAATGCCCTTCCCGAGGGCATCAAGCCATGCTTCTAGGGGCCTGTTGCGTTTCTGAGAGGAGTCATTCTGGAAGATAGACCGTGAAGTGATTTAGCTGAAGTCTGGCCAGCTTTTACTCCTTTTATTTGGGTATGTTTCCTCATGACATTATGAATCTTCTGTTCATTTCTTGCTGGTGTACATTTAACATAGAATCAGCTGGGTTGGAAGGGACCTCTGAGATCATCAAGTCCAACCTTTGATCCACTACTGCCATGGTTACTAGACCATGGCACTAAGTGCCACATCCAGTCTCATCTTAAAAACCTCCAGGGACGGAGAATCCACCACTTCCCTGGGCAGTCCATTCCAATGTCTGATCACCCTCTCTGTAAAGAATTTCTTCCTAATATCTAGCCTAAACCTCCCCTGGCAGAGCTCAAGACCATGCCTTCTTGTCTTACTGATAGCTGCCTGAGAGAAGAGACCAACCCCCACCTGGCTCCAACCTCCTTTCAGGGAGTTGTAGAGAGTGAGGAGGTCTCCCCTGAGCCTCCTCTTCTCCAGGCTAAACAACCCCATCTCCTTCAGCCTCTCCTCACAGGACTTGTGCTCCAGTCCCTTCAGTAGCCTTGTTGCTCTTCTCTGCACCTGCTCCAGCACCTCAATATCCTTCCTGAACTGAGGGGCCCAGAACTGGACACAGCACTCCAGGTGTGGCCTCACCAGCGCTGAGTACAGGGGAAGAATCACTTCCCTGGACCTGTTCAGGAACATAGATGGGCTGGTGGGTGATGGGTTGGTTGGAGGCCACTGGGCTTTGGACAAAGTGATCATAAGAAGATCACTTTTCAATTCTCTGGATTTAGGTTCAGCAGAACTGCCACCTTGGACTTCTAGAGAGCAGACCGTGGCTTGTTTAGGAGTCTGGTTGGCAGAGTCCCTTGGGAGACCATCCTGAAGGGCAAAAGAATCCACCAACACTGGACTTGTTTTCAAGAAGAAAATTCCAAAGGCTCGAGAGCAGGCTGTCCTCATGTGCCAAAAGATGAACCAGTGGGGAAGACAGACCTGGCTGAACAGAGAGCTGTATCTGGGACTAAGGAATTTAAAAGGAGAGTTTCTGACCTTTGGAAGAAGGGCCAGGCCACTCAGGAGGACAACAGGGATGTTGTGAGGCTATGCAGGGAGAAAATTAGATGGGCCAAAGCCTAGTTAGAGTTTAGTCTGTCTACTGCCCTAAAAGGCAATAAAAAGGTGATAAAAATGTTTCTAAAAATACACCATCGGCAAAAGGAGGACTATGGAGAATCTCCATACTTTATGGTATGCAGGGGGAAAGAGTGACAAAGTGTGAGTGAAAGGCTGAGGCACTTAATGCTTCTTTGCATCAGTCTTTAGTAGAAAATCCAGTTGTTCTCCAGGTACCCAAGCTGGAATGCAGGTGCATGGAGCAGAATGAAGCCTCCATAACCCAAGAGGAAGTGATTAGTGACCTGCTACACCAGTTAGACACACACAAGTCCATGCAGCCAGATGGGATCCAGCCAAGGGATTCCACTGAGGAAGCTGGTGGAAGAGCTCAAGACCAACAGTCCTGGCAAACCAGGGAGGTCCCAGGACTGGGAGCTGGCAAATGTGACACCCATCTACAAGATGATACAAAAGAAGGATCTGGGGAACTACAGAACTACAGGAACTACAGCCTACGTTTGGTGCCAGGGAAGGTCACAGAGCAGATCATCTTGAGTTCCATCACGTGCACATGCAGGACAACCAGGGGATCAGGCCCAGCCAGCCTCGGTTTAGGAAAGGCAGGTCCTGCTTGACTGACCTATCTCATTCTACGGCAAGGTGACCCACCAGTGGATGAGGGAAAGGCTGTGGAAATGTCTACCTGCACTTTAGTTAAGGCTCAGTTAAACATTCTCCTGGAGGAACTGGCGATCATGGCTTGGATGAGTGCCCTGTTCGCTGGGTAAAAAACTGTCTGGATGGCCCACAGAGTGGTGTGGATTGGAATGACATCCAGCTGGGGTCCCTCACCAGGGGTGTGCACCAGGACTCAGCATTGGGTCCAGTCCTGTTTAATATTTTTATTGATAACCTGGATGAGGAGATCGAGGGCACCCTCAGTAAGTTCTCAGATGGCACTAAGTTGGGTGGGAGAGTTGATCTGCTGGAGGGCAGGAAGGTTCTCCACAGGGATCTGGACAGGCTGGATTGGTGGGATCGGGCCAATTATGTGAGGTACAACAAGGGGAATTGTCAGGTACTACCCTTAGGTCACAACAGCTCCCTGCAGTACTACAGGCTGGGGGAAAAGTGGTTGGAAAGTGCTCAGCAGAAAAGGACCTGGGTGTGCTGGTCGACAGCAGCTGAATATGAGCCTAGGTGTGCCCAGGTAGCCAAGAAGGCCAATGCCATCCTCACCTCTATCAGAAATAATGTATCTGGCTTTGGACAGAGAGACATGAATCTCCCTAGAGAAATAGCAGCACGATTGAAAATTTTAAAAACTTGTCTAAGACAGAAAGACCAAATGAAGTAGGATTGTTCTGAAAAGAGAAGACTATGGTGACTCATGAATGTAATCCTTCCATACAGTTGAGTTGCTGCAGAAAGAAAAGATCCAAATGCTTCTCCATGCCCAAAGGCTTAAAATGCAGCATGGAAGATTTAGGTCAGGCAGACATGGGGGGGGGGGGAGCTTTCTGATGGTAAGAATAGGTAATGACTGGGGAGGATTGTCCATGGAGATTGTGGACCTCCATCTGTCCAGCTTTTGAAAAAACAGGTTAATGCAAATAAAGGTAGATACAAAGATAAAAGATTTCTTTTAAAATGTGTCCCTTTGTCTTTCATATTGCTGTGATTTAAATGCAAAATGAGAACCATATTGCTTACCAACCTCATGGGGGCTTTCCAAGGACATTAATGAGTATTTTACAAGACACTGATGCTGCACAGATACGTACTCCAAAGTAATAGCTAAATCATAATCCTCATGTCCAATGTAGAGAGGAAAAAAAGTAATCAATGCTGTGTTCTTTCTACTTTCATTGTCATGGATAACTGATTTTAAAATGTTACATGTTAGATGTGGAAACTGAGGCAGGGGACATAAGGTGTCCAAAGTCGCATGGCAAATCATTGGTAGAGCTGGAGCAGACCCTATGTATTTTGTGGTCACTGAACCACAGCAGTAAATGCCTGGAGCATCAGAGGCCCTGCACTGTGACCCATAATGTGTGTTCTGGCACAGAGACAAGCCATGGTTAGCTGTATAAACACCGTTGTCCTCTCTGATTTCTGAATAAGAACATGCTGCCAGCCATCACCAAGATCTTAATGATGGTGCTTGCTATGCTACAATTTCTAAGAAATTCAGGCATATTCTTTAAACTTCATACTTCTACAAGTAGCCAGATAAGTAGTCAGATTGATACAACTTTATTATGACTTTTCACTGAGTGTCAGTGAGTTTCCCCTGAAGACATGACTAATAACATCAGTTCACATTTCCCCAGTTTTCAGCCAAATCACAAGGGCTTGGAGCAAAATACTTTCAACAGAGCAGTAATTAGAAGGATCCTTGGTTATCCTGGAAATGAGATTCAGATGGCAGAGATAAAACTGGTAGATGCTAAAGCACAGACCTCCTCTCTAAAGTTCTGGGAGACGAAATGACCCTGCTGTATATCACATAGCACTGCAGTAAATTGTGGCTGATGAAGTATCAGACATGGGAACTCTGAACTACCGAGGTGCCTCTAAATGAGCTCCGGATCTTGGGAGAGCTGAGCCCCCTCTTGCATGAAGGGTAAGCAGGAAAAATGCATGCAAGCCTTTGTTCTGTCTCTCGGCATAGGAAAAACATGCTATCCATAACGAGGAAGCCTGTGAGGAGCATGGCTCCATCCTACGGGGTGTTGGAGACTCCCAGGTTGCTTTGCCCCTTTCCCTCCACAGATAGATTTCATTAGGAGTCCAGGACTCTTACTGCCCCAAGAACTAGCAGCACAGCTCTTGCTTTTCAGGCATGGTAAGCGCATGCAAAGAGATGGCCCCTCAAGGAGAAGGGAGATTTCCAGTACAGCAGCTAAAGTTTTCATCTTGACAGCAGGAGATGCTGTCGAGTCCTTATTTGCTGGATTTACTAGCTTCCATCCAGGCATGCTGCCGGGAGACCTCTTGCTGTTTGATGGGGGCCTGAAGTTTAAAGCTGCTTCCAGAGTTTTGTTGAGACAGACAGAATTCTGCCAACAGCACACCAGACAGAGAATCGTTAATAAGAACACACTTTGGGATGCTGCTGTGTGCATGCTCTTTTCCTGGTGGTTGCAGTTCTAAACCAATTAATTTCTGTGATCTGAACCGTTCTCTTTTATTAGTAGTACCAGCATGTGCAGTGCTGCATAGTTATAGATGATGTGCTCCCTCTGGGGATCCTATCAGCATGTTATTGTAGGTCTTCACAACATGGAGAGAACTGTCTCCTATGCTTCTTCAGCAGTGTTAATTTTTTCAATGTTTTTATTTATTTCCCTTGAACTCTTACTGTTTCTACCTCCTTGTGAGCTCTGTGTTTGCTCCTTATGGATTTCAGTGGCCGTTTAGCTCCACCTTTGACTCTGACTGCTCAGAGTGATCTTTCTGATAATTTTTCTTCGCTCCCTGGTGCTGAGGTTTGTGGGTAAGGCAAACTCACAGTTTCCTTGGATAATCTGACTTCATTATTTTCATTGTCAAGGGATTCTGAGGTTCTTTTGCTCCTTGGTGCGCAGCCTTCAGGATGAGTGATACATGGATTTCTCCTATCTCATGACAGATAATCTTGACAAGGTTCCTTTTTTCTATTTCTTGTCTCACTAGATACAGCACATAAACAGAAACACAGACACACACACACATGAACCTTCTCTGTGCATGGCCCATATCAGCTGCACTACAAGGTCTTGTGGGATTCTCACCTCCTTCTTGCAGCAGAGGTAAGAATGTGTCAACCAAACTTCCCCAAAGCACCTGCTGAATTTGAATGCCCTCTCCATGAATATTTTAAAGTGTCCTGATTTGCAGAAGCTGAAGGACAATTCAGTCACTAATCACTGGCCTCTTTTGGAAACCTAATGTAGGGCATAGCTGCTCCTTCCAGAGAGTGCTCCATTAATAGTTTTTGTTATTTCATTCTTAGTTCATCTTACTTCCAGTTCACTTTTTTTTTTTCTTTTTCTTTTTTTTTTTACCCCTCAGAAATACACAAAATTCCATGCTCCACCTGCCCTTGGATGGCAGCTGGAGTGTGTTTTTCACTGAAACACAGAGCAGTTGCTTGTCTGCAGGAGACACACGGCTGTGCATCAATATTTGTGAACTCAGGTATCACCAGGATCTTCTTGTTTTCAAGCAAGGAAGAAAGTCCTGATGTAGATTTTTGCTGTTGCCCTTGGAGTCTACTTCTACTTTGCTTAACACTGGTGTACAAGCACCTCTGAATTAAGCCCTCTTTATTAGCACTGGAGTGAAAACTTAGCTTGCTGTTGGCCAGTTCTGACCTCCCATACCTGCAGCACATCTGTCTAGCATATCTCCTAGCCCTTGTACTGTTTTCCATTGGCATTTGCAATTTTTTCTGTGTTTTACTTGTTCTTTTCAATAACATTCATCTTTGTCACAACAGACTGCTATATTCTGAGTATGGATTTATTTGTGCAGATCCCATTCCAAATAACTATCTAAATAAAACGTAATATTTCTTCTCCACAGCCATGTTGTTTGTTTTTTGCCTGGAAACCTGAACATTTATTGATGAATCCATATTTGTACTACAGCAGTCTCTCTAATAATTTCTTTAGTCATGTTCTGTGTGGTTAGTAATAGCGCATGAAAGTGAAAAGGGAAGTTATGCAAATATCAATAATAATTACATTCTCTCTATGCAGATTTCATAAATACATCTTGAAATTCATCTTTTAAATTACTTTTGCACAATTTAGGCAAACATGCATTTTAATAATTGTGGGACCATTTAGAGTACAATCTCTACTCAGTTAATCCTCTCAATTAAGGAAGTACTGTAAATAAAGATAAGGTATATACCTAGAAATATGGTTACCTTAATATTTACATGTTTTACAAGTTAATGGGTTGCTCGTCTAATTCAAAGTGACAGTTTCAGTGTCATGGTAGATTTAACCATTTTAATAAAATGCAGTATTGCCATAAATGATTTAAGAAAAGTTTCCAGAACTAAAGCCTAACACTCTTGAGTACACAGAGCTCTTTAGTCATTGATATTTGCCTACTGTCACCACATATTTTATATAATAATAATAGTGCAGTCCTAGATTTTCACCATTAAAAGCAATATCTTACCACAGACTACATATTCAAGAGAGGAATGTGCTATGTATGGTTCTTCATTCCATGACTGGGTTTACAAAGGCTTCTGAGAGTCTTTGTAGTATCAAATCTGACCCATGTGTCTTCCACTGCTTTGAAGTCAATAACACGACCAACAGATGCTGTTTGAAGCCCTATCAGTGTTCTGAAGTTAAAATTCTGCCTGTCCATGGAGCTACCTCTCCCAGTCCCTCAGCCCTTGATACAGCCACTGGCCCATCAATACACTAAGGCATTTTTCTGCCCTCCCTTCCCCTGTGTTTCAAAGGACCACAGCTCTCAGAAAACATCGGAAACGTATCATGCTCCTTCCAGCCATCTGAGGGTACTACTGGGCTCCCTTATTCCAAGATGTTGGGACTTGGTATCTTTGAAGTGATTCACAGCAGCTGCAGTAATCTTCTGCTCTGCATGTGACGTCCTTGGAAGCAAATGAAACAACAGGCTGAAGACAAGCCTTGTAAGAGTTGTTGACACATGGTCTGTTTCACTAAGGTTCAAACAGTCCACAACAGGATGCAACAACAAAACTCACACTGCCAAACCGAGACGCTTTCCTATATGAGTTGATTCATAAGCCAGGAGAGAAAAGATGGATCTCACCCACTTTGGCCTCGTCCCTAAGCAGTCTTACTGGAGATGTATCTATAAATCACCCACACAGCCACCTCTAGAAAGGGTCAATCCTTATTGTAAAACAGCACTTGCACAGAGCTGTAAATTTAAAATGTGCGGAAAGAGACTGGTAAGTACTTTCCCCAAAAAAGAGCTGACAGCTGTCTCTACCCCACTGAGCTACAGAGACCCTTCTAAAAGCAGTTGCTTACTCAGAAACAAGAAGCTGCCTGTAGCTAGCATTCAATAAATCACCACTTTCAACTTTGGTTGTACATTCTCAGATGTGTAATCAGAACATAGATTCATAGATTTTGAGGCCAGAAGGGACTGCTCTGATCATCCACTCTGACTTCCTGCTTAACACAAGTCAGGAAACATCACCCAGAGGTTCCTGCTGTGGAGGGAATTACTGTGGTCCTCTATTTCAGATGCTGCTCCTGCAGTTACTGTTGACCAGTGAAACATACTTATCCCAAAGAGATCAGTGCAGATCTATTCTGTAAACGTTCCAAGACAGCAAGCCAGGCTGAGATTATATTTGTTTATAAGTAGAAGAAAGAAAGAAATTATGCCCCCAGAGAAAATGTTGCCCGTCACCGTGTGGGGATTACAGTGCTGTTGATGAGGCTGAGAAAAACAAATAGTACATGGCTGGTTTTGACATATCCCTGGTAGTTCTAGCACACAGGGTAACAAGGTACTGCACTGAAACCAGAGCAAACCAGAGGAAAATAAAACCTCTGTTACAGAAAGTAGGGATATGCACCATAAATTATCCCAGGGGACAAGAGATTTTGTATGCCCCATTTTATACAGAGAGGAAAGGTTTGTAGGAAGAGCCAATATCTTTTATTAGACCACCTGATAGATTTGGGGGATAAAAATGGCAAGGCATCAGACATGTAAGCCCTTCTTCACATCTGAAATATAATTTTATTGATACTGGCCTTAGGATATCTCAAAGGGCCATGGAGGTTTTTTGCCTCACTTCTTACAGAAGAAAACTTGTGTGCTGTCTGTCTGTCAGACCCACCTAATTGCTTTTGAATCAGTCAATTGATTTCAATCACATTGTCAGGGGGAGGGGTAAAGGTTTTGCAGATATTACATTCTCTCACATCTAAAGAAAATAGGTGACAAGGCAAAAGACAGACCCAGATGTGTGCTCCTACAAGGAGAAATTGCAGGTTGATCATAAGACAATCCACACAGATGAGAAAAACAGGAAAGCAGTTATCATCAGTTTTATAGAGTCCAGTACTATTTGTTTAAAAATTAGATTCCCTCCAAAGGGTCTCAAAAATAATTCAGGTGTTAAAATCAGACTGTCTTAATCAGCTTTCCCAGTTCACTATCCAAATTGGCAAAATTTGCTGTTTTCCATAGCATAATTGTAAGTACTTTTTTCTTAATCTGTATTGCAACAATGGCTGTGATTCCTGAGAGCCCCAGACAAATTCCCTTCTCCAAACGTCTAGCTGCTGATAGGTGAGCTTTGCACTAGAGCACAGATAGGAACTATGAATCAACATCTGTGTTGTTGCACAAGATGTGGCAATGGCAGTCTCTATGTCACGAGACCCTTTCTGTTTACTGAGAAATGGGTTGGGATCTAGGTCTGGAGTTCCCTTGGGTAACAATCTGCAACTGGGAAAGCTCCTCAGGTTGTGATTTGCTCTGAAACCCCTTGTTTTTCAATCTGTCAGCCAAACAAAAAAGCTTGGTGAGAAGAGAAAAAGGTGTTGAAGAGACAGAAGGTGTCAGAAAACAGTGATCTGACAGCTCTTGCCTTGTGGGCAACTGTGCTGACACAGGGCTTTCTTCTCCTATCAAGGTGTTCTGTAGCTTGGTCTTCATTCTGTGTGTCCAGTAGCCTTCCCTACTTAACTCCCCTAAAGGCTGATTAAAATGCAACCTCGTTCAGCTTCTCCTGTGTCTCCTTTTCTGACTTCCATCCTTCCCTCCACATGTGAAAGGCTGGGATTTCTTATGGCTCTTAGCAATTTTATCTGCAGGTCTGCCCCTAAATTTATAGTCATTTCTGGTGAAAATTATGATCTTATGCCCGTATCTACAGATATGAAATCACAAGAGCTCATTCCCACTCCCGGGAATGCACAGGTCCTGGACAGGAGCTCAAGGTGATACCACAAATACTGGGGCAACACAGGAGCAAGAGAAGCACATGGCATCAGGTTTGCTGGTGGGACATGTTATGTGGAGCTCTAGGGAGGACCGTGGTGGGTGATGAACATGGAGTTAAAGGAGTCAGACCCGAGGAATAGCTTGTGTATGGCTTTCTAAAGTGCTGCTGTTGCATGCTCCTCCTCCACAGTCATTGAAACTAAAGCTTCCCCCTGCTTCCCTGCAATCTGACTTCCCCTATATTTAGCTACTTTACCTACTTACCTAACAAGGAACAATAATTTCTCATTTACTAAAATTCGGGCATGTTAGACACAAAGAAACACATATTGCAACTAGTCCTTGGAAAGGCAATGCTGTCTCCCAGGGTTCCTTTTACAAAAGCATCTTGCAACCCAAGTCTTGCCTTCAGCAAGCTCTCCAGTGGTGTTGCAAGTGGAAACTTCTGCATTTGACCCATCAGGAGTGTAAAGAGATAATCCAGATTATCACCTCCATAAAAAGACAAATTAATACATATAACCAATACCCAAGTACCAATACACAGCTCTCAGACATACATATTAAAACAATTAATGTATTAGGAATATGGATTTTCTGTCACATACATAATCTAAGGCAGCTTCAAAGTGTAGTTAGCAACTAAATGTTAGCAACTAAAGAACCTGCAAGAATCATTTCAGCAAGCATTTTTTAAAACAGAACCCGTATTATAATTAAAAGAAGTGATACATTTATTTGATCTATTTTAAGAACAAAGTCAGCTCAAGGTCAATTGCCGATCAAGAACAATGGAGGAAAACTGGGTGAGATAATTTTAAAGCCATTTGAATTAAGACACAGATACAACCTGTTTAAAAGGTAATTTCTAAGAAATTATCTCAATTTACATAATTCAAGTGTTTTTACCCTGGTACCTCAAAGAGGTTGATCTACATATGAATTAGATGTTGTTACAGATGATTTCTCCCCGATCCCCAAATCAGAACTCACATATGGAAAATATGTGCTATGGAAGAATGATCTAGCAGACAGGAAACTTCTGTTTCCAAGGTAGTAGCTTAGTGTTTCAGACAGTGCATGGTACAGTCTCCAAAATGGCACCGGTTATCCCAAGCAACAACTGAGATTCCTTTAGAGTGGAATTAGGCAGCCCAACACATTCTGGACTAGCTGAGCTCCTCTGGTTAATAACCAAAAGCCACCTGCAGAACCTCAGTAAGCACCCTTTTGTCCTCCTTTAACAAGCACGCTCTCTCACATACAGAATAGCAAGTTTCGCTGAAGACAACCACAGCTGTCTTCCCTTTTCCTGCAAATGAAAGGGTCTGCACTCCTGCTACAAAATGGTTATCAAATGCAGTGTCAAAGCAAGTGTTTCCCCTCCATTGTAAGAGGCAAGCTGAATACTTTCAGCACAGCTTTCAGTGTCTTCAGACCCAACTGCAGCTGCACACACTCCAAACATTCTGCTGGCGGCTTCCTGTTTGCATTCCTGGGCTGGGGAGAAGGAGGACATTTCTTTCTAAATCTGCTGCCTGCTCCTGGTTTTCCAGCTCTTTCTGTCTTTCTGCCTCTCTCTTTGTTCTTCCTTTAGGAAATCTTTGAGATTCATGAGAATAACAAGAATTCTTTCCCTCTAAACTGTGCTCTTATATTGGCTGGTTGTTTCAGAAAGGGGCAGAGGCGGGGGGGGATTTAGGGGGAGGGGAACCCCAACAAAAAACCCAGCCACTCTGGCAGGGACAGTCTTCATTTACACTAGCAGCATTCTGGTGCTAGAGTGAACCCTCTGTGCATATGTGTGTGCCTTGCACTGACACCAGCAAGCCCCATCCCATCCAAGGGTGCCATTGTCTCCTGCTGGTGCCAACAAGGCAGGTTTTGCATTCACTACCGCTGAACTCACTCTTTCTGGGGCTTTATACCCTCGCCTGCATGTGTTCAGGAGACTACACTCTGCCCTCCAGGAGGGCTCACTGGCAGTCAGACATGCACATCTGAGGTCCAAATTAATGTCTGAATCAGTGCATGTGAATCAAGGATGTGGTATTGGGACTGACAGGCCCTGACCATCATTTCAACTCTCACTGCAGCTATGAATACTGATGCTTCTTCCTTGTGGTAATTTTCCTTGCCCATTTCTACAACCATGAGGGAGCACCTCCTTTTCTTTCATTTCTTGTTTTTTCTTATTCCTTTCTTTGCTACATCTCCACTGGCACTATCATTCAATGTTTAAAACTTGTATCTGCTTTAAAATGAGTAAATAACTTCAATCATTTTTCTGAAAAGCTCAAGTTTCATGTTTGCCAATGATGCTGCAGGCAGATCTTCACCAGTGGGTTAATGTTTCTTTTATAAAGTGAAGACACCTGATTTCTGTCAGTCCTTGTCTTAAAATGCACCATCAGCCACAGCTTCCTAAACAACCATGTCAAATAGACAGAGAAAAGCAACCAAAATGGCAATCAGATTCCACTGAAGGGACACCAGCACAACACCTGCTGTGCCTGTCCTGCTTTCAGGAAAAGGACTTCTGCTGTGCAAAGAACTCTCTGGAGTATGTGGGACAGATAGAATTACAGCAACTAGAGGATTTTGTTTCAGCTGATGCTTGGGAAAAGAGTTAACCCAGAGAAGCTCTTTCAGGAGGCATGGAGGCTGGGACTGAAGGCTGACTTGTGCAACTCCGGCACTTATTTCAATGTGTATTGCAGAATTACCCTTCAACAACAAGAATGGTAGTATCTGACTACAACATAAATGGACGCACAACTTCTCAGAGGTGGTCCTGCATGTGGAGGACTGTGGAGCACAAGTGCACAGAGTCTGGCAGCTCCAAATGCTCTTTGTTACTGCTCTGTAACAGAGGTTGTTGTGTCCTCTGCACCTTGGAAAAATGAGGGGAAAATGACATATTTGTTTAACTGCTGGCAGGCTTTGCCAAAGCAGCTGCCATAGGCTTCCATGTCAAAGCACCAGGGGAGTGCCTAATCCCTTTAGAAATTCAAAGGCATGTGAAACATTCTGTCAGTACAGTCTCTCTTCTACTCATCTCTCACTCTTTGACTCTTCTGCATCCAGTTCCAGCTTCAGACAAGGGAAGTGTAGTTCAGTGGCAGCATGATAAAATCACATTGTCTCCAAAAAAAGAAAAGAAAGGCTACTGTCAACAACTGGCTTTAATTGGATGGATGGGTCAAAGAGACAGTCTTTTCCCACTGCAGAAGGCTGGGACATGGGGCAAAGGAACACAAGGGAAGTCAGGCAGTCCCTACCCCTACCATGAACAAGCAGTGCTGTACATGTGTCATGTGTTACAAAGGAGGTCAGCTGAGAGAATTGCAGCAAGAACTTCTGACTTTGAAAGTGTGTGGTCAGAACACCAGAATCTTCATATAGTTGTCCAAACATCACTGGGTTCATCAGACACACTGGTTTATGCTAACAGATGCTTCAGTCTGCAGAGCTTTTTGAGATTTCAGTGAATTTGAAAGAACAGAATCCAAGTAAACAACAACAACAATTTTTACACATGGGGGAAAAGAAAATCTCCCCATGACTTCAGACTGATGCAGCATCAGAATTTTCTCCTTTGTTTGGCAAGTCAAACCATTGGCAATACAAATAATTTCCTTCAGAGAAAACTTTTCCTTCATTTAGGGCTGTCCTGCTAATCCAGAAGCTACATTGAACCCCATTTTTTCATCATCAGTATTGCACATGGACAGTTTTTGATATGCCAGAAGAAAGCTAAAGCTAAACTCAATTCAGTGAGTTGGGAGTAAGGTGCACACTGATCTGCTTCTGCAATCATGGTTCAGAGACAGCAACCTGATTTCCTGATGCTTTTGCATTTTGGAGGCAGGGAAGTGAGGCCCTCTGACAAAAATATCACCCAGTGTGTTTTTATTGCCACAAAATCCATGCCTTTGCCACTTGTCCACATACCACTCTTTAATGCAAACCTCATGTCATCCTGCTCCTTTCAGGTCCTGATTAACTCTAAAATGCCCAGATTTATAAATCCAGTGGAGAAACAGACCCTTTCTAGCCAAGAATGTAGAAGGCGGGGGGAAAGGGGGAGAGAAAGACAGAGGAAGAAAGACCTCAAATTGCTTACTGCTTGGAACTGATAAAATTAAAAGCAAAAATATGGAAAGAATTGTTTTTCATTTG